CGGATCCAGAAAGTTTGTTAAAATCTATTAATGAATATTATAATTTATAATAATGATTCTGATTATTTATTATGATTAGGATTATGATTATAATGATAATAAAATAAGAAAGTTGCTTGTATATATTCTATATATGTATATAAATATGTACAATAATTTATTAATAATAAATACCTGTTTCTGCTATACCAATAATGTCTCTATTTTGTAAACCTATAGGAATTGCTTGTCGTTGAATAGGTGTTGGTTCCTTATGTCCAATATTTTCAATAAGATCAAGTATTCTTTGTGGTAAACCAAATTCCTTCCACGGCCTTATAGAATTTGGAATACTGCCACCTTTAGTTGCAATATTGAAATCCTCTTTGAATATATGCCAGTCTCTCTCCTTCATTTCTGTTAAAGGTTTTTCTGATCAGTATCGATCATCCCACATGGTTTTTAATTCTTTTCGCCTATCAATTTCCATTTTCATAAAAAAATAAGTTATTGATTTTTTTTTAACAATAATTCAAAAAAAGTTTGTTTAAAAAAAAAAAAAAAAAGAAAAAATACTCGGCTCGACCTTTCTGATCCTTTGTTCTAATAATTGATTATAGAATGTTGCACGATCTCTTTTTTGCTCCTTAATATCAATACCAGCAAGATGACCATGTCCAAACATTTGAGCTTTGCGTTTATTTGCATATAAAGGATTAAAATCTTGTGAAGTAACTTCTCCAGCATCCTAATCAAAAACAAATTTCTTCTCATCATTTTACGTATTTTACTTTTTTACGTCCACCCACCACTCATATAACGTTCCTATTTCATATATATAATATAGTTTTTGACATGTAAAGAATACATAACCAGAAAAATGGTAAACTAAATAAATATAATAATAAATAAGATTCATAATAACAGGAATAGATCAATTAACCCTCTAAAGAAAAAAAAAATGAAATCATTACTCTGATTGCTTGCAGTTCCTTATCATCCGTTTTTGAAGTATCATCATCATCATTTTTATTATTTAGATGTTTGTCATTACCATCTCTATCTCTTCCTTTTATTCGATCACGATCGTAATGAACATATTTATCACGATCATAACGGTCATAATAATCTCGATGATCTCTACCATAACCTAAAGTATAAATATAAATAAAAATGCAATAAAGACAGAATAAAAGGCCAATTTGGTACGTTATTATTTAGTCAAGAATTTTGGCTATTGAAAATAAAAATAATTGGTTTATATTTTGATAGTGTAGAGACCGGTTGATAATAAAACAAAGCATCCGTCCGTACCTTATTATTTTCAATTTTTTATGTTTCTCGTAATTTTAACATTATTTTAATTAATGAAGTTTTCATTACAGAATATATAAGGATCCATTTGAATGGAATATATAGGATTAATTTACCACAAAAATAATGACATTAAGAATCAAACGGGGCTTTAAGCCTTTTTCAACATTGTGCCAAAAAAAATTTCAATTAAACAATAATATCACATGATTGATACTGCAGACTGAGTTTCAATTATTCCCCGAGTAGGGATCTATATACGGAATAGAAAAAATTTATCAGCAATTTATTAATCCGTTTCAACAGTATCATATATTTCTTAATTCTTGCAAAATTATTAATAAGTTTTATTATTCCAAACTATTATAATGGGAAAAGGTGTAGAATTAATAATTGATAATAATTCTTTTTTTTTCATATTTTTTTTTTCATTTTGCTGTGCTGTTTCTTTTTGTTCTGTTATTAGAATAGAATGCAGGAATTAATAAAAGCTCCTTGCAATAAGATTTCTTTCAACAATATATTCCTTTTTTCTTTTGAAAGATAGCTAAAATTTTTCATTTTTTCACTCAAAATAACATCATCTTTCAAATTCCTAAAATGGCATCTTGTAAAAAAACTGGCTCTTCCTCAATTCTACTCTAAAACATTGTGATTCAGTACTAAAATCAGGTGTTTTTCATGGTCCCAAACTTTCTCTTCCTTAAATCCAATCATATTAAAAAGATTAGATTTAAATTACAGTTTATTCTATAATGGACCATTTGGCATCATAGATAGTAATGATTATATATTAATATAGGACATATAAATTGGGCTTAAATTCTCAGTCCATTATAGCGCAAGATTTATTATAGAAAAATTTATGAAGATAAGTATAGTTTACTTTCTCTATAATGAAATTTTTGCAATTTCTTGCTGCAATTTCCCAATGATGTTGAGAAGGTACTGGAAGAATCGTGGATTTATTGAATTCTTCCAATATTGCATCAAGGCCTTGATGTTGATTCCAAAATTCAGAAATCTCTGTACTATTTGATTATCATCACTATCACTATCATTATCAGTGATATTCTTTGTCTTCTTCATTATTGTTATCCTATTTCACCTCTTAATTCTTTTCCTTATTAACCAAAGGTTATTTTCATTGGTGGAATTTTTTATAATTGAAGCAACAATTCTTTTCTCATCAGGTGCTCACTCACTACCATTTCATTGAAAAAAAAATTTGAGTCCTGCTCACATAAGTCTTCGCATAAGCCCTAAACATTATTATTATTATTATTATTATTATTTTAAGCAATATTATTCATGCACATTGTATAATTATATATATATATGTTTTATTAAATAATAACAAAAATAATAAAAATATAATAATCAAATCAAATTTTTTTATTGTAAAACTAATGATGGGATGATGTATTTAATCAAAAAAAATTTTTTCACTATTAATCAATTAAAAACAAAATGTCATTAAATTGATCAAATTAAAAAAATTAATACTTAATTAACTTGCTACCAAAAAAATGAAAAAGAATCACAACTATGTGGATGATGTAGCAGTTATGGTGATTTAAGCCTTATCAGTAGTAGTGGTGGTGGCAGTAGCAGCTGAATCTGTAGTAGTTATAGTAGCTGTACTATCTATAGTGGTTGCAGTGGCTGTAGTGGTGGCAGTGGCTGTAGTGGTGGCAGTGGCTGTAGTGGCTGTAGTGGCTGCAGTGGCTGCAGTGGCTGCAGTGGCTGCAGTGGCTGTAGTGGTTGTAGCGGTTTCAGTAGCTGTAGTAGCTGGTGTTGTTGATGACACTTCTGCTTCTTTATCATCTTCATCTTTCTTTTCACTTGTAGCTTCAAAATTTTCAACTAATTCTGGAATGTCATCATCATCTACTGAACCAGTAGCACCACCACTACCACTGCCACCAACAATATCACCTTGTGCACCTTGAGATGATAAATTGAGATGATAAGATTCTGCCAATTTACGAAGTGATGCAAGGGAGTCTGGTCCTAGTTGGTTCAAAATTCCTGGTACCAATTCTGTAAGATCCTTTTCTTCACCATGACCATTAATTACAAATGTATTTGAATGAACTGATGCTTGAACTAATAATTATTTATTTATTTTTAATTAATTTTAGTAGGAAGAGAATTTAGTGTTTTATAAATTGATAATGATGATAATTATAAATGATGATAATGATGATAATTATAAATGATGATAAATGATGGATATTAAATAATGAATGATGATCATAATATTGATAACAGTATAATCATAATAATATTAACTTTCATTACCTTTTGGATTAGTAAAATGGATAACAGATCCATCTTCTTTAAACATATTTACTTCTTCAATTGTTGGAATTGCTTGAACATTAAGTTTCTTGAGTGTAGACTGTAGTTTTTTATCATCATTATTAACAGTTTTATATACCTTTTTAACCTTACGTCTTGGTGTTCCTTTACCACCTATCAATAAACTAATAATAATTGATTATTTTGTTCAGAAAATTTTTTTCCATCTTGAAAATATAAAATAAATTTTTTTACCAATCCGAACTTGTGCTTGAAGCTTGGCAAGTTTTTCAGGATTCATATCTATCTATATGCTAATAATAATAATAATAATAATAATAATAACAATGTTATTTCTTGCCTCACCAAACTCTTAATATTTTATTATATTTTATATATACAACTTTGTACATATATAGGTAAAAACATATACAGAACAGATATTTTAAAAAGATAATTAAAAAATTCTAAAGTATTAGATTGAGATAGATGATTGGTTAAAATTTTAAAAGAATCAATTTCCAGATTTTTTTTTCCAAAAAAAAAAACATCATAATTTAATTTTTTTTAATATATATTTACAAAATGGTAATTTATTATTAATGCATTTGTTATTTAAATGAATCAAATTCATATTAATTTGATTGATTATTAATACGTTATCTAGCCTACAAGACTTAAAAAGAATAGAAAAAAGCGTGGTCATGTTTCTGCAGGACATGGTCGAATTGGTAAATGAACAAAATCAAAAAATTGAGCTTTTTTTCTCTCCCTATAATATATGTATATATATATATATATATGCTCATCAACCAATTAATCAATACTTCCTTGCCAAAAAAAAATAATTACATGAAGGTAAACACCGTAAACATCCGGGTGGTAGAGGTTTAGCAGGTGGTCTACATCATCATCGTACCAACATGGATAAATATCATCCTGGTTATTATGGTAAAGTCGGTATGAGACATTTTCATATGACTCGTAATCAATCCTATTGTCCAACTGTCAACTTGGATAAATTATGGACTTTGGTGTCAGAACAAACAAGGAAAATCTATGCTACTAAGAAGGATAATAATCTTGTACCTGTGATTGATACTCTGAGAGCAGTAAGTTTATTTGTATATATTTGTTATGCACGTATTTATATTTAATTATGCTAATATTAATTAACAAATAGGGATACGGTAAAGTTTTGGGTAAAGGTCGTTTACCTGATCAACCAGTTATTATTAAAGCACGTTATGTTTCTAGACGTGCAGAAGAAAAAATAAAAAAAGTTGGTGGTATTGTTCAATTAATTACATAATAAAAAAAAAACAATGATTTTTCAAAAAAATTATATATATAAGTTGTTTAAAATAAAATTTATTTTATATCAAAATTAACATGTTTATTTCTCATACAAAAACTATGTAAAATGTTATTGATAATGGTTTGTCTAAATGATCTTTGTGATGTATCTTGTTTACTTCATCAATAAGATAACCTGGTATTGCTATAATGGAAAACGTAATCTATAGTTCAACAAAGGATATCTCCCTCCTCACTTTTCTTTGGTTTCTTCTTTGGCTGGCTTCTTTTTTATTAAAAATCTAGTGGATATTCAAGTGATTAATATATTGAATTTTCAATCACACAACAAATGAACTGTCAACATTTTCTTTTAATTAATTGTTGCACAACACGTCAAAACAATATTTTAATTGATCATGCCAAAAATACAAAAAGAAAAAGAAAAAAGAGGTATTAATAAGTTAAGTGCAGCAATTAGATGATCATCAGATTCTGGTAGTTTGGTTAGGTATCAAAAAATGGCAGAATCAAAATCAACAACAAATAATGACACATTATTGACTTCAAAATGGTTGAAAAGAAAAAAATTAGACGAATTAGGTGAATATATTTTTATAATGCAGTTTAGATTATAACACATATACACACTATTAACTTAAAAAAATTGTTTAATCAATCATTATTTTGAATATTTATTAAATATAAGAAAGGTATATGTACTATGGAAGAGGATGAAGTATTATATGCAGCATTAAATAAATATAAAATTATAGGCTGCTATTATTATATATAGGTTTATTATTATAGAGAGATGCATATTTATATTTATATATTTATGTAACTAAACAATTTGACTGATAATGAACTTCACAAGTTAATATATGGAACTACACCAGCTGAGCATAAAGGTTTCTGGTGCGAAATTAGTAAATCATATATGTATTATTGTTATATATTTATATATAATGTAATATATTATTGCTAAATATAATACTTGTGGATTAAAAGCAACTCCATAAGTAACAAGGCCACTAAAAAATGTGTGTATACTTACATGAGAGATGGTGTTGATTAAAATATACAATTCAAGATTCCACCTGATATTATTATAATCATTTCTATCTAAAGACTAGTGCCGTAAATTATGATGATGGTAGTAATTGTATTTACGGCATATAAAAAGTGGTTGCAATTACCTTTGCGACCACTTTTGCAACCATACTTTTTCCTTTTTTGGATTACGGCACTAGTCTTTAGTATACTCAATGCATTGAAATCCTAATATTTCAATATCTGCACCTTTAGCTATGGATGAGACCATACAATCCTTCATAAAAGTACCTAACCGGATCAAATCATTTGAATTTTTGAAAACGTTATTTCTTTCAGAAGGTGGACTTACTTCTCCAACAAAAATCACTGAATCAACTTGTTGTTGATGTATTAAAGAAACTGTGAAATCAGGCTGCTTTGCTCTACTGGCTAAGTTTCTTATTTTGCTTTCATGTAATTCAGTATTAGGCCATTGTACTAAGGTCTTGTCTGGATCATGAAAAAGTCCTTTCATTATCCTGTCCAGATTATTTGTAATTAATGTGATTTCACTGGGATTTTTGAAGTAGGCAATGTTCTTAGAAGATCCAATATAATAAAACCAAGATTGTCTTTTATAATTTTTTCTTTCAAAAGTTGCTCGCATAGCCAATTGACGGCTACATCTCTGGAATCATTTTTACCCATTTCGATTGCTTTCCTAAAAATATAAACAGGTTTATCAGCCAATACTATTTTTGGAAGCATTGATGTTTGTTGTAGATGCAGTTCTTCTAATAACGTAATGCCAAATGATCTTATTATTGTTTTGGAATAAGAATTGGGAATAAGCAATAGGATGTATGATAATGATAATATTTCGTAAGTATTTGATTCAACAAGCAGTTGTTTCTCTTTTCCAATTTTTAATGAGACATCCCGATATGTTTCTAATAATGTTTTGATGTTGATTCCATTTATCTTGAGTTCGTATCTCATTTTATCTGAAATCAATTAATATATATAAATAACACTAATAAATAAATAATACTAAAATCATATAATAATAAACACACCAGATTTATTTTTATTAGAAGAGCTTTGTTGTGATGGTTGAGTTGGTGAAGGGCTCAGTGAGTTTGATCTGTTTGGTTCACGTATATGAGGAGATGAAGATCCCATTAAAGAAGCAGTATTGGAAGCAGTAGTAGGAGGTGGCAAATTTTGTTGTTGTTGTTGAGATTTTGGGGGATGTGGAGGTGGAGATATAGATCTGGCAGAGTCACGAGTATCAATGTTTTCAACATCTTTTAGTGGTATCCGACTGAATAAAAATACATAATAAAAGAAAGAATATATAGTTAATTAGAGTGACGACTAGTTGCAATCACCACCACCATTCTTATAATAAACTAGAGTGATGGCAAGTGGCAGGCGATAACCACCACCATTCTTTTGATAAACACTTACTCAGCTAATGCCTCTCCATGATTTTCTTGTTGTTGTCTTTTTTGCTTTTTTTGTTTCGTAATATGCATTTTAAAAATAAAAGAAAAAAGTTTATTATTTGATCGACAAAAACCAAAAACAAACATGTCTAATTATTTATGCTATTGGTTTTTTTTTTTGGAGGACAGACGCGAATTGATTTTTTTTTTTTTTTTTTTTTTGGAAAAACAATTTATTTTTTGACAGAGTCCAAGATGACAAAACGTGAGTGTTGTTGTTTGGTTTGGTTTGGTTCTCCTAAAGAATATGTGTTGATAACTAACCAGAGGTACTTTTTTTTACTTGTAATGATATTTTTATTTTATATAAATATTTTAATTGGAATCAAACGTGGAGCAGATCTTGCTGGGTAATTACAAGATTTTCATTGATAATATTTTACTTTTCATAATCAATAATATTAATAATATTATTATAATTACAAGATGTCAAGGCAGCACACTGTTGAAAAAGAAACATTTAAAATATGCGATGTTTGATTATTCGGAAATTGGCAGACATTGAAGCACACACACTGCCTTGAACACTTTACAGTCATTCTCACATCTTCCTTGTGTACACAAGGCTAATCTGACTTGCGACGCCCGATGATATGATGATGCAACAAAATTCCAGGGGGGTGTCGCTCTGCCCTGGAGCTGCATCAAGACTGCATCATTGTCAATGACGCTTTCACTAATCTTCCCAGATCAGAGATGGCCACTGCCATGTTGGCCGAAAAGTTGTCTACCTCTGGATAAAAATGGTACTGTGACCAACAAGCTTGCAACTCTGGAGGAATATCAAGAGAATCTGCAAAATAAAATGGGTTGGATTTTGTTTGGTATGTTATAAATTAATCATTTTCCCAAATTCTCTGCTTCTCTTTGATTTTATTTTACCAACTGAATTTGTTTTTTGAATGGGGTAGGGTTGTTGGTGAGTAAGCATGCCACCAATAAGACAGCAACCCAGGCTCAGAATTCAGAGAAAATCCAAGACAGCAACCCAGGTTACAACCTCCTGAGTTGCGGAATTTCATACCAATTGCAGATACCAACTTTATTCTAGAGAGGTATATAACACAAATGTCGATCCTCATCAATGATCAATGCTCATATGGAAACAGCCAAGCCTGGTCTGAGGGGAAGATAAGAAAAGTTTTGCCCACCTTGAAAACCTTCTGACATGTGGGGGCCTTCACCTGTGGGAAAAATCCCACAGTTATGGAGGTGTGTGAAAGCACCCAACCACATGTTTGTGATAGGAAAATTTTTAATTAAATCTGACACCTGTGATCAACATCAGATTTATTATTTATAAGGAAAAGTAATTTGTTTTTGTGAACCCCAGAGATCTGGGTAGATACACATTATTAAAAATTTCATTTATGCATGGCCTTGGTGTTATTACTATCTGGGTGATGCAATTGTTTGTTATGTCAATGATGATATCAAATGTATTGAATAATCATTGTGATGAATATGGAAACAAAGGAATTCACACATGAGGAAAGTATTAAATAGCAATATTGTATCTTTATTTTAACCAAGATATATAATTAATTATATAGAAAAATACAAGATAAAAAAATTGCCAGAGTGATTGCATGGAATCCAAGGCTGGAACAATCACACCATTACATGTTCCAAGGTCAATCAAGCAATTATTTGAATCCATTGGTGCACTTATTGAAGGGGATTAGGTTTGTATGCAATTTAAAAATTTTTTATGTTAATTTAGAGTTCCATTTTTCTTTGCTCTTGTAGTTTGCATTTTACAATTCAAGTTATTTACCTTAATGTAATTATCATTATCAAATTAATTTTTAAGTTTCAAAAATTGATTATTTTGAAAAATATAATTTTTATACATTTGTAAGAATTACTTTTCAACAGGATAAATTTTAAGTATTTTTGAATAGGTACTTTAATTATTGTAAAAATACAAATTACCTTTATTTCTTAGAGGATAATCCTTTCTATGTTAAAAATACATAATAATATATAAATAATAAAAATACAAATAAATTATAATTAACCTTATTGTTATAATCTATTCAGAAGATATTTAATTACATTGATTCATCTAAGTTTAATTCCATTCATATACTTTCCTTCAACTTTAAAACAATTATAAAAAACTACAAAGTGAACATAAAATTATAAAATAATATATATAGGGATAAGTGTATATGAAAATTAATAATAAATATAATGGTTCTAATGAATATCAAAAGGCCATTGATTTTTTAGAAAAAGGCTGTGGTTGTGGATGCTCTTCAAGAATTCCCAAGGAACAATTTGCAGAATTAAGGGAATCTTTTCAAGCTCTTTCTAAAGTAGAACAAGACATATTCTTAATGGCCCAACTTAAGGCAATGGATGGTGGATCAATAAGTACTAGTAGACGCCTTAAAAAGAAAACCAGATCTAATAAAAGAACTTTCTATCAATGGGATCACAATACACTCCTTTGTCAAGAAACTTATCTCAATATGTTAGGAATTGGTAGGACTTATTTTGAAAATATTAGAAATCATCTGATAAACAATGGTCTCCTGCCAAGAATTCATGGTAATATTAAAAGGATGCCTCAATGGAAAACTAAGATGGTGATTGATAAAAATGTTGCTGAAGTAGTAAAAAATTTTCTGGAAAATTATGCTGAAGTCCATGGATTACCAAGTCCAGGAAGAAATGTCAATAGAATATCCCAGTCAGTTATATTTTTACCAGCTGAAATGAGTTATAAATCAGTACATAGAGACTTTTTGGCTGGTTTAGAAGAAAATAACAAATTAAAATCCTTAAAATATGATGCATTCAGAAAATTATGACATCAATTGACACCAGAGATTCAAATTATGAGTCAAGAACTGACTTGTATGATACTTGCCAGCATTTTAGAGTTGGTTTACATTTTAATGCTCGCCAAGAGGAAGAAGCTAAAGATTTACTTAAAAGATTTAAAGAACATCCAGTGTTAAAAATTCAGTGCGGGGAATGTGGGGGTGTAACATTACACACCAATCAACCTTTTAATTTTTGAGATAGTTTCTAAATTTGTACTGGTTACACAACGAAATTTCAACACTGAGAACATCTATCCAAGGCCAAACTAGAAAGAAATTATTATAATAAAAACACCAAATTAGCAGAAGAACAAAGAAAACTAGTTGATCAACATTATTCCAAGGGTAAAACACAATATTGTAGTATTGATGCTACTGCTCATTACAGTTATGATTGAGCCCAAAATGTTCATGTACCACATTTAGATCAACAAGTAAGTAAAATCTATTATCTTAGTCCATGTAAAGTTCATTTATTTGGTATTCAAGATGA